TTGGTTATGGAGTCTCAGGGTCATATTCCAGAACTCTACTCAACGCTCAACTCAGGTCTTGAGTATGCTGTCAAACACTGGAAATACGACCATAATGGCAAGGACTTGAGTATGATTTCCAGTCCTTCAAATCATACTCAAGTCATGACTTGAGCACTGAGTACAATTCTGGAATACGACCATTAGAGTTGTTACACACGGCGACTATTAACAAAGATGCAAACTATGCAGTAGCTAATCATCTACCTTTAGGGCGCGTTCAAATTAGCCGCTGTTAGACGCGCTGCAGTCGCGCGGCGGCGTCGCGCGACTGTCACTTTTCATACAATTTCTAGAAGCGCTGCAACCGCGCGGTGGCCACGCGACTGTCGCGCTGCAGTCACGGTTAGTGAGGTGTACACATTGACTTACAAATAAATGGACGACGGGTCTAATACAAAAACCACGAAAAAAATGTCCTAAGTCAACCTATTTAAACGTAGTGACATGTAAAGGAATATGAAAAAGCTAAAACGTTGAATTTAAATTGTAATGTCATCGCAGTACTGTCTAATTTTGCTTGCTTCGCTGTCAGTCGAACAAACGAAGACTAAAGCGTGAATGACGCTTTGTATACGATTTTAACGCCCTATAAGTTCGGACACTTTTTAGCGCGGACCCGACGTCCACATATAAGTAAGTCAATGGGTGTACATGTTAATTTTTCAAATGAACCACGATGGATGAAAATCAAATTGACCCTGCAATATGGAATAGCACTTCCGCTAGTTATTCCAACCGACTGGATAAAAAAAGGCATGGGAAAATTTATTGACAATTTTGAAACTACAACTGAAAAAAATATAGCAGGCGAGTAATTTTTAATACCTATATGTGAAGTGTGTGCCCCAAGAACTAGGCAAAAGTAATGTTTCTTCGTCAGAATCCATCGCGTAACTGAGTCGAAAGGCATCACTAAAAATTTGGTAACACTTCAGCAGCGCGACAGTCGCATGCGCAATGCATTGTGATTTTTAAGCGACGCAATCGCGGGGTTCCATCGCTGCTAGAAGTCGCCGTGTGTAACAACACTTAAGGTACAATTTGAACAAAGAATGACAGTTTTGTATACAACCCCTTCGCTGTGGCCCACCGTATTTTGCGTGTCACTACAAGGTCACTACATAATTAAGTTATATATTATGTTATATTACATTGAATTTAATTAAAACAATTACGTATACCTACATTTGATTAACATTAAATTTCATACTTTGTAATTATGTATAGGTATGGATGAATTACTGTTATAATAAATACATAAATGAATCTACTTAGCATTTTCCTTAGTACTAAGAACAATAAATTGTACACATCAATTATTATCGTAATAAAGAGCGAAATTTTATTATTACCCATCAATATGTGCAAGTTTAACTGCGTGAAGCGGAACTCCTGACGTCATATCTCACGTTAAACTGATTTATACAACAAATCAAGGGATAACCAGCTCAAGTTGATATTCGCGGGGTCAGCTTCACGCAAGCTACGGGATGCTAAAAATCCCATTTTCACAACGCGAAAGTCTTATATCAATTTTAAACGACAGTTGCACTGCCGGCGCTATCATGAACAACGTAATCATAAATGTTAACGAAATTGATTTATTAACATATCACAGTGGGTCTATTTCCATTCTCCGTGCAAAACAATTACTGTCAAATAAATAATACTCGAATAAATCTAAAGACAATATCAAGTATCCCCTATTACAAGATTATCCTGCCTTATAAACTAAGGCAGGATAATCTTGTGATT